TCCCAGCAGGCAGCAACTGTCTTCAAGTTGTGATGTCTTTCACTACTTTAATCTGTTGTTTTAATTTAATTTAATTAGGTGGATCTACACAAGTGAAAAGGACTTAAATGAGAGAAGCCACTGGGGAATCATTGCAACCTACAGTGGAGCGGGCTATTACTTGGATCTATCCAGAACCAGGGAGGAAACGGCCGCTCAGATTGCTGGTCTCCGGAAAAACTTCTGGCTGGACCGGGGAACCCGAGCAACTTTCATTGACTTTTCAGTGTACAACGCGAACATTAACCTGTTCTGTGTGGTCAGGTGTGTACTGTGGTCTCACAGCCATCCTATTTTGGGGTAGTTACCTGCACATCCATTTCTGGAGATGAACTAGAGAAATCCTTCTTGCAGCTGGAGGGAGGTACCGAGAATCAAGGCTGAGACCAAGGGACGGGTGGTAACTGCAGGTTTTGTGAGACTGATTTTGGAGAAGGGATTTAGGACCCTGGAGTGTTATGGCTTGGAAAGAGCCTTAACTCTGGACAAGTTTATCCCGTTTCTAGATCCTGTCTGTTCAAAGCATTGTAGGTAGGTTTCTGTTGTTCTGCTTGTTTTTTTTGTTTGTTTGTTTTTTGTTTTTTCCAATATCTTCAGCCATTATAAGGATAGCCACCCTCTATCACCATTGTTCAAAGCATTGTAGGTAGGTTTCTGTTGTTCTGCTTGTTTTTTTGTTTGTTTGTTTTTTGTTTTTCCAATATCTTCAGCCATTATAAGGATAGCCACCCTCTATCACCATGTCCTCTGGCTACCAATCCTTGTCTCCTCGCCCTGAGTGCCTTCACTTTTACACACTTTTGTATGTAAGACTCATAAATGACACATCAGGTTCCATGCATAGACTGATGCTCCTGCCACGGCCACCATTGGAAACTTTGCCAAAGGTTCTGTTGCCTCATCTTTCTCTGCATTCAACAAGCTGGTCTTGGATATATGGTGCCAGTTACTGTTTTAGGCTGTTTGGATATGCCAGAGGATGAAACAAAGGTCCCTGCACTTGGAAAGTTTGCATTCAACAAAGATAGACACGAGAAACAAGTCGTGTAGCATTGTAAATAGTAAGTGCTGCTTAAAATAGACTTGAGCAAGGTAATAGTTATTTAGTGTTTGCCTGACATGTCACATCAGCAGCACACCAAGGTCATTCCCATTGGTCATCTGCACATATATTTCCATAGGAAGTAAGGACATGTTCTTGTAATATTAGTATTCTGTAATAATTTTCACATTGAATTCAACTCTGATTTAACAGGCAATTAAACTTTGCCAGTGTTTGTACTTATCAACTTTTGCTGAACACAACACCTTTTAAAAGCAAGTAGATCTTGCTAGAAATGGATGAGAATTGATCACAATTGCCATTAAGCTTTTCATAATGATGCCAGTGTTGATTTGAAGAGGGTTCTAATAGACACGCTACTCTGACATACTAGAAAATGTTTGGTTTCAGGGTGTCTTCAGTGGTTTGTTCCTTCCTAGAATTCAAAGATGGGTTGTTCCTTCCTAGAATTCAAAGATGGCCCCATCAGGACAATCACTCTATTTCTTTCTAAATTCCTAGGTGGTTAACAGGCTGAGAGTCTCCATGGAATAGAGAGGCTGTGATACACAGGGGCCACTCACTGGAATGGGACCCATTGCTTTTTGAGTTATCCTGGCTGTCGCTGGTACTTGACGTCAAATAAGGAAGCTGACGGCGAATTGACAGGAATTCCCATTTTCCAGAGTCCCAGCTTTGACATTGCCACTGCTGGAGCAATGTGTCTTAGAAGCTTGGGTTCTAAGTTTGGCCGCTGTCCTGTTATGGAGGACATTGTGATACCAGGCATGTGACTGAGGGCTTTTGAAACTACAGAGTTAGAGACCCTCATTCTAGTTATGCAGAAGGTCATTCTAGTTCCTGAACCACTGAACTTTGGCACTGTGACACCTGTATAGTTGCATAGTGGAATTTGGCAAGAAAAGTCTGCAGTTAAGTTAGGAATGTAGTAAAACCCAGTGCTAACTGTGTTAATATAAAAGAGGGACAGTCTTATTCCAGACAGCAGGTGGGTGTTGAGTGTCTTAGATAAACAGTCTTTCAAGGGTAGGATACTAGCAAACTGAAGAGCTAATTAGATGTTACATAGTTGCTGAATAAATGTTTCATAGTTACAAAATGCATGCCCTGTTTCTGAAACCCAGGGCAGTGGTTTTCACCTCATAGTACAGGGATGCAACCTACCTTCTTTCCTGAATTCTATCATACATTGTTACTTCAATTGTTCTTTTTCAATGCAGGTTACTGGTTGAGTTCCCAGCGACAGGTGGTGTGGTGCCCTCTTGGCAGTTTCAGCCTGTGAAACTGATCCGCTATGTCACAGCTTTTGATTTCTTCCTGGCAGCCTGTGAGATCATCTTTTGTTTCTTTATCCTTTACTATGTGGTGGAAGAGATATTGGAGATTCGGATTCACAGACTGCACTATTTCAGGAGTTTCTGGAATTGTCTGGATGTTGGGATTGTTGTGGTAGGTTGGAGAGAAACGCCAATGGAGCTGCTGTGTCTCCTCTCTGTGTTCTAGCTTCCCTGCTCTCTCTCTCTCTCTCTCTCTCTCTCTCTCTCTCTCTCTCTCTCTCTCTCTCTCTTCCTCTCTGTATTCTAAAAGATTGTTAATTTGCAGTCTTCAATTTCAGTGTTAGGGATTTTGATATTTCTAGTAGAAAATCTAAACTTCTTTTATATTAACTTCTGTGTTAACACTTTTTTGTTTCTCACTTTGTATGAGAAACCTTCCTGATTATAATGCCAATGTTTTTATTGAGCTTACTGACTTAATCACACAACTAAGTAGTTAAATTTGTCTTTGGTATGTCATATAAGATTTATAGGATAAAACTGTGGGGGTATTTTCTGCTAGTGAAAATCATTTTTTTTTGTAAGTATCAAATTTTGACAAGAAGAAGCAGCCTAAAAATTGTTTAACGTAGAAAATATCCCGTAGTTTGGAACTCCTTTCACACAGTACAGAGGAAACTAAATCTAAACTGTATCTATCAGTCATGTCCACTGCTTTCTTCCAGAGCCATTGGTGTAAAAATTCATTTTTCTAAGCTTTTCCTATTTCAACAGCATATCAACTTTTGTCTTATGTTTTTAACTTCATAACAGTGTGCCTAATTGTCATATGTTTAAATATTCTTTGGGCGTAGCTGTGCCACGTGTCATTGTGTGTCTCTGCTTCCCACTGTCTCTCCCTTCCAGACGACTCTCTCTCTTGAGGACTGCATTCACCAATGAGTGTTCTCCCACCAACCCTCTCCCTGACAGTATTCTTTCCTCATTCCAAGTTAAAACTACTTGGCCTTTGTGAAACACTTATTACATCTTTATCAAGTATTGACCATTAGAATTTGTTGATAAAATATTGAACATGTTGTTTATGTGTGAAGGAACAAATACCTAAGACTTGAGAAAGAACCATGTGGACATGTACTGCATGGCAACTGTGGTATTACCGGCAATGATAATAATAATAGGACAGTGGCTTAGACATTAAGACCAATGTGTGTTTGGCACATTCCCAAGTAGTTCTCACAGAGGAAGGCTTGTTAAGTCCTTACACTGACTCTTGTCTGCTTCACCCCCTCCTTACTGGGTCATGTACATGTGTGCTTCAAAAAGTGCTTCCACTTGAAATAAAAGTCCAAGACCCATGAGATTCTGGTGCCACCCTCCCCACATGGTGTTTTTTTTTAACATCACAGAGTTCATACACGGCAAGATAACTACTTGAGCGACACACTACTAAAGTATTAATAGAAAAGAAAAGAAAAGAAAAGAAAACAGTACTAAAGAAAATGAGGGAGACATCAAGTTTGGAAATTATTTTCCAGAACATTTCTGTATCAGTGATCAGTACTAAAGAAAATGAGAGAGACATCAAGTTTGGAAATTATTTTCCAGAACATTTCTGTATCAGTGATGTCAGAGTACAGATCACATACATTCGAATTCTAGGAAACAATGTTTGGAACTTTAAGGTGCAAAGTTGCCTTTTGGCTTATATATACTTATATTTAGGTTACTGAGAATAGAACTGTAAAAAAGCAAGTAGTATATGGTAATTAATTACAGACATTGTTTTAACCAAGTATTTTCCATATTACCAAAACTAGTCAACATTTAACATTTTAAATCTTGAATGCTGTTCAGTGAAAAAGAGTTAACTGTGTACCCTAATTCGTTGGATGTGTTCAGTTGTGGTGTTGTTATGGTATAACAGGTGTAGCCATGGAAACAAAGACATGCATAGAATTAAAAAAGTACAAATTATAACTTTTAACAATTGACTATATTGTTGTTTACCATATAGACTGTAAACATATGTACTACATGTTTCAAAAATATTTTTAAAATCTATCAAGAATAGTGTATAGTATTATAGTTCAGCAGTTCATGTTCATATTTCATATCAAATTCATTTGTTTATCATCTGTTCAAACCATGAATATGCTTTCTAGCTACCGAACCACCCATAGATTGTCAGGTTTTCTCCTACACCAGGGAACTGGCTTTTTTTTTTTTTTTTTTTTGCCTCACAGCTGTAGCATTGTGTGTGTGAGCTGTAGCTCACACGAACATCTCTTTGAAGGCTTATTTTCTTCAGCTTTTAATTTTACTTTAACCTAAGTGCTACCAGGACTCTGTTGAGATACTTGGGCTTTTATGGAGATCACCTGTGTCTCCTTTGGAAGATTTGCTGCCTATGTAGAAGGAATAGCAGCCTTGCTGGTGCCCTTTGTCCCCCTGAGACAGGAAAGCTCTGAAAGAAGGCTAAAACGGGATTATGAGCTTGCTTCTTTAGCTGTGATGGGCAGCTGGGCAGAAGGCCTTCCCTTTTGCATGTGAGCTTATTTTCGTATGATCTCCTCTGTGCACATTCATGCACACACCTGCACATGTTTTCAGTTGTTCTGTCCCTAAAGAATGTAGGCTGTATATTGTTTTCATATTTTAGCTGATGACTTTAATGAGTGCTATTGGATGAGTAATACGGTCAGTCCTCCAATCCCATCAATAGGGAAAACTAGTCATTTTAAGGTGGATTATCTATTTCTAGAGTGATGTAATAAATATAAATCTTATGTCTTCCAGTTATCCATAGTTGCTATAGTCATTAACATTTACCGAATGTCAAATGTAGAGGGTCTACTACAGTTTCTCGAGGATCAGAATACGTTCCCTAACTTTGAGCATGTGGCATACTGGCAAATACAGTTCAACAATATAGCTGCGGTCATGGTATTTTTGGTCTGGATCAAGGTAAGTTATGTCGCATTCTTTGTTTTACTATGTTTGCATTTATTAACATGAATCACGCAGGCCATTGGAAGACATGGATTTGCCTTTTTGGCCAGGTTGACATGGCCAACTATGCTTCACAGTCAGGAGCATCTGGCTCTCGGTCTGTCTAGTGTCTAGGGATGAAAATACCAGTAATGAAGTCCTTGAAGATTCAAGGCAGTTACCCAAAGTTACCCTTACATAGTGGTGTTCAGCATGTGACAGTGTTGCACAAAACTATTTTCTGATTTATTTTTTGTTACTGCTTTTTTATTCCTCTTTCAGTTTATTTCTTTGGGGAATAGTATCACTTATTTGTCAGTCACATTTAAGCTTGTTTTTACTATATTGTAACTGTGATATAAGATGTGAGTAACATGAGGCAGAAGCTTTGTTACATTCCCAGCCCTGAGGACTCTGTCCAGCATAAGCTAGCTACTTAACAAACACTTTTTGAATGACAAGATAGGTAGGTATTCCTAGATTTGAAAGAGAAAAAGAGTAAATAATTTCTCACCTATTCTCTCTACTATGATAAATATAAATTACACAATACTATTTTCGCCATTTTACATGCATACTTCAGAAGCATGAAGTACACAGCGCAGTGTTGTGTCTGTCACTGCTGGACGTCACCAAACATTTTTGTAATCCCAACAGGAAATGGCTATAACCTGACTTGTCAATTTTCCATTGTTTTTCCTGTCCCAGTGAGTTGGCTCTTTGAAGTGTTTCAAATAGATGGAGGCATACAAACAACACTTGAGGTTTTGCATCTGCTTATTTCACTTAGCATGCTCTCAAAGTTGACATAATAACAAGTAACAATTGCATTTACTTTTATGGTAGAATAGTTCCCCTGTATATGTAGAGCACATTGTATCATAGATTCACCTAGTGACAGTGTCCCTCTTCTGCAGCTCTTCAAATTCATCAGCTTTAACAGGACCATGAGCCAGCTCTCCACAACCATGTCTAGATGTGCCAAAGACCTCTTTGGTTTCACCATTATGTTCTTCATCATTTTCCTGGCGTACGCTCAGTTGGCATACCTTGTCTTCGGCACTCAGGTTGATGACTTCAGTACTTTCCAAGAATGTATGTAAGTATCTATGAAATGAAACAGAAAAGTGTTTTTTTTTTTCTATAAATATATGAAGTTGTCAAATACTATTTTTAAATTTTTATTTTAAAGTAAGTTAGATATGTCACAGCATTCCTAACAGTAAAAATATTATTCTTGTTACTATTTGAAGAGCAAATGTTAAGAATAAGGACACATTGAATTATTTCTTCTACAAATATTGTCCCAGGAAAGAAAACATGATGTTTGGAAATGTTGATTCTTAGGGAAGCAGCTTTCAAGTAGTGAGATAGAGTGGAACTACCATAGAAAGACAGCACTATTCCAAAGACCAAGGTCTTCTCAGCACCCAGACCAGGTGGGAGTTTTAAATGGCTGTTTGCAGGGGAGGTACACATGGTTGGAATACTTTAGCCCTGGGTCCCATTCCAGGGCTCTGTCCTCCCAACCCCCCACCCACATAAGGTGGCCATTTGCCTACATTCTCATTCCTCTTGAATATTGTTGCCTTGTATCTTAAGTTTCAACTTCTAAGAGATAAAACATATTTCTAATATTGTAGAAGAAACTAAAAGCAGTATACAAATCTTCAGTCTTTTTCTGGTGTTCCCACAATATTCTAAATTATAGTTATTTGCCATTCACGAAGTTACTAGGTAGTGAGGGAAAGGCTAGATCATAATAAATGGAGTTAGTGTCGTTTTGTGGATGGAGATCCCTGATTAATCTTGCTATTGATGAAAGTCAGGAAAGGAAATGATGTCATTGACTGTGTCTAGCCACTGTGACCTCACTTTGAGTGACTGTAAGAATGCTGGATCTTTGAAACCCTACAGTTTTGACCATTTGCAGTATATGTTTTGTCATTGTTTTTATTTAAAGATATTTTAACTTCAGACTAAGCATGACTATTATAAGCAGTTGAGTTACAAATCATCTAATAGTCAGATTTAATATTGATTAGAAATGACATATATAATATGAAACCATGTTATTCTAAAAGGCATCATCAATGAACAGTACAAGTAACAAGACTTTCCCGAGGAGGTCGACAGTTTTCAATTTCTTGGCAGCTATCTCAAACTTTCCAAATTGTCCCAACATATGAAATCATCTTTAATAAGTGTACGTCCGCAGCTGGACACTGGTTTTGTGTTGTGTTCTCTTTTGTTTTCATAGCTTCACTCAGTTCCGCATCATTTTGGGTGATATCAACTTCGCAGAGATTGAGGAAGCTAACCGGGTTTTGGGACCACTTTATTTTACTACATTTGTGTTCTTTATGTTCTTCATTCTTTTGGTATGTATATATATATATATTTTTTTTCAGTAAGGTGATTTAAACTTTATGCTCCTAAATCACCACCTTCTCTTTTCTCTCATGCTTGATCACCCATCATTTTAAATAAACGCATGGAAAACAGAAAAGAAATGGTTACTCTTGAAAACTTACTGTTTCCATTTCCATTACAGTTTTCAGACAATAATTTGCTTTTCCTGTGGTCTTTCAATCATCTATATATGTGTGTCTAACCACTATAAAAATAATTACAGCAAGTGCAGATTTATCAAGTTCCTAGATGGAGCTTTGCCTCAGCGGTAGGTCGTGCTTGCCTGCTTTTGCAACACAGTGTCACTACCTTTTTAGTCACTTGCTAATATGACTTTCCATCCCTCCCTTTTCTTTGAGAAAATAGGAACTTACAAAACTTTAGAAGTAGGACATCAAGAGTCCTACTGGGTGAATTATCACATGTCAAGGCTAAGATAATATTTCAACTTTCTCATAGCCCAAAGACCTATATACTGCTAGAAAGAATTTGCATAAATTAAATTTAAAGCTAAATCTAACAGTAATTAAGAATTATTTCCAAATACTTTTTAAAATACCTTTGAGTCTCTTGATTTGGAACAACTTTTACCATTTACTTTAAGTTAACTCAGACTTTTTTTTTAAAGGTGTTTTTGTTCTTTTCTCTAACATTTCTACATTCTACCTGTCTGGTGAAAATGTGTAAAATGAAATTAGCTTGACTGAGGGAGAAGGTATATTTCATCCGAACACTGTCATCTTTTCAGATTTTCCATTCTGGAAGCTGAATGCTTATATTCAGTAACTCGATGTCTCACCTTTCAAGCCTACCTGGGTATCCCTGTTTTGGCAGATGATGTTCATTAAGTATTAGATAATCATAATGGGACAAAAGGGACAGCATTTGTAAGCAAAAAATAGAGAGTTATGTGGGTGAGGAGAGGAAAAAATCGAGAGGCTTTCTTTGAACTGAAATTATCTGCGTTCAGAATGGAGCACACACCTGTGGGTTTATGTTCTGTTTTAATTCCTGGTGTCCAGTCTTAGTCAATAGTCTTCCTTAACTGATAGAGATTTATAGTTCTCCACTAAAATAAGAGTCTTGGTCATCCATCACTGGATAAATATTGCCCAAGGCACTCTATTCTTATACATTATTTATGTAATATGTAGTGTAAACTACAGTGTTTGTGCATTCGGTGATGTGTTATACAGTTGAGGGAGTTCTGAAAAGGAGACTAGAGCTTGGACTTTCTCTGATTCTCTGATTTTGTTTGGAACGCATTCATAGTTATAGAAACCTAAGCTATAAGCCAGACACAAACCAATGGTATGCATGTGGCGCATCTGATTTACTAGGTGCAGTGCTTTGAGAAAAGTTGTTGCAAACTCATGGGAGTATTCATTACAACTGGGGAGGGGAAATGTCAGGAAAAGTAACCGACATTGGTGAGTGACAGCAGCTGGGATGGTTAATACTCAGAACAGTCGCTGTTAGGACGGATCCTGAGCACTGCATAGATTATCTCACTACCCAACACAAGCAGTTTTTAAGAGGGGTACTGTTACCTTTTCTATTTTATAAATGCAAAATCAGGAGCTAGTTAGGGAGATGGCTCATTGTGTAAAGTGCTTGCTATTCAAGCCTGAGGAATCAAGTTCAGATCCCCAGCCTCCACTGTGGTTCAGAGATGGCAGCCAGCCTATAACCCTAGAGCTCAAAGAGGTGGAGACAGGATCCCTTGAACAAATTGGCTAGATAGACTAGCCAGGAAGCTCTGGTTCAAGTGAAAGACACTGAACGATACATAAGGTGGAGGAGAAGTGAGTTGGGACAACATCCTTGTGGTTGCCAAACAACCAAATACTTGTGTTATACTGTAGTCTCAAAAAGGAAAGAGTTAATTATACTTTTAAAAAGTCAAACATGGTCTTAGGAGATGACTGATTGGGTAAGAGTGATACTCTGAGAATACGAGAACCTGAGTTTGCATCTCCAGCAGTTAACTAAAATCCCAGAAATGGCTGCATGTGCCTGCACAACACCCTCCACCTTCTGGGCACTGGGACGTGGGTGTTGACAAGTGGATTCCTGGATCTTGTTGGTCAGCCAACTTAACCAATAAGAAAGCTTCAGGTTAGTGAGAGACTGTCTCAAGACAATGAGGCAGAGAAAATAGAGAAGACACTTGCTCTGGCCTTTGCGTGTGCACTTATAGGTGCACATGTCACACACGTATGTATTCACCACAACACATATACACAGGTCAGACAACACATGTGGGCCATGCCATGTTTGCTGGAGGTGAAAGCTGGATTAGACTGCCAGTATCTCTGCTTCTTGTACAAATGAGGAACAGTTTCTTTTCTTTTTTTTTTTTTTTAAGATTTTATTTGTTTATTATCTACACACCAGAAGAGGGCACCAGATCTCATACTGGATGGTTGGGAGCCACCATGTGGTTGCTGGGAATTGAACTCAGGACCTCTGGAAGAACAGCCAGTGCTCTTAACCTCTGAGCCATCTCTCCAGCTCCAGTGTGGAAGTTTCTTACAGAGAGAAAGCATTCACTTGAGTGAGCGCAGATTCCGGGGAGAGTTCCACGTTACAGGCTTTCCTTCCTGGGGTTTAGATGATTCTGGGGCTTGTGATTCCAGGTTACATAGACACAAGGTTCAGCTGACTGGACAAGGGGTGTTTCGTGTCTTTGTTGTGTGAAGGTTCAGGTTGGAAGATCTGACATGATGACTGCAGTTGAAGTAGTTTTGACACAGAGCCCTTTGGCTGTTGTTAAGCCCAGCTATATGACAAATAGTGTGAGGTAAACTTTGTGGGGCTTTGTCTGTCTTCTGCACACCTTCCTGGGTGGTGTTGCTGTTTGTTCTTTTCTTTCATCTTTTCCTTTGATTCCCACAATCTCTTCCCAGTCCCACAAGACAAGAACCCAAGTTTGATAGACTCTGAAGTCTTCCCCTTTTCACAGATTTCCTTGATCTTTATACTGGGCCTACTCTGTGCCTATTTGCTGAAGTCATTTCAATTCTTTAGAATATGTTCTGTGTTCCTCATATGAGTTTATGACAAGATTTGGAAAAAGTTTAATTAAGTTGTTGTTAAAACTTGTAGCTCTAAAGAGCTCTACGTAGTAACTTAATGTTTTAAATGTAGAAAACAATAGTAAATCTTCTGTGT